TTCCAACCAAACAAAATAAATGATCTTAAAATCATTATGATTTCAAAATCCTCACAAATTCGGGCTTCTAAAGTTCAGAGGTAAGTGAGTGTTGTTGTGACTTAAATACAGACATCTCAGGAGAGAAGGAAGAGAAGAACAAATGAAGGAAGAAGGAAGGAGAAGAAATGGGAGAGGGGAAGACGATGGAGGGAGGAGAAATTGCTTTTTTTTTCTTTTTTCTTTTTTGAGAATAAAAATACCATCAACCAAGAAAACCACGGTCCTTTTTGTTGGGTTTGTAAAGAGTGCAAACAAAGTTCAATATTTGTTAGGGAAATGAGTGATCCATGATATATAAGGGAGGACAATTGTCTCTATTGGTATGAGGCCTTTTGGGTGAAACCAAAAACAAAGTATAATTTGTCGTGTCGTTATTCTTGTGCTTTTACACTTTTCTCACAAGTGGTATCAGAGCCATGGAAACCTAGCTATGTGGGAGGAATCCTCGGGGGTCTAAACAAGAGTGATTGTGGTAAGCCTAATAGTTATTACGGAACTTATGGATGAATCTCTAAATCGAACAAAAAGTGGTCGAGGTGGCGAGCAAAGACATGCTCTATGCTCGGGTGATGAGCAAGACATGTGCCCTATCAAGTCGGGGGTAAATTGATAGGAAGCCTATCACAGTCGGGTAAACTGATAGGAAGAGTGGGTATCTTTGAAACGGGAGTAAAGTGCATGACTATTCGAGGCAAGATACAAGTGGCACTTTGTTCGAGGGGAGAATTGTTGGGTTTGTAAAGAGTGCAAACAAAATCTCACATTGGTATGAGGCCTCTTGGGTGAAACCAAAAGCAATTTGAGAGGAATGCTATTAAATAACCACGTAAGTGGAGCACGTACATATCGACGTGTCAAAGGGCTCGACATCGACACGTGGGGGCAAAATCATTTTTCCCCTCCCCCTCCCCCAATCCCTTTTCGACGAGGGATTGTTGGGAATCTAGAATGTGCCTTCTTTTTTTTTCCATTTTATTATTCTAATTATAATAAATATTATTATTACTATTTAAATTTTATGTATTTATTTTAGTTTTTACTATTGACCTATTTTTATTGCGGTTGAAGTTTTTTCAAATTTTTCTTTTCAAATTTAATTTCAAAATTTTTAAACCTATCCCTCTATTTTTAATAATTGTACCTGTGTTTGTATATATATCAATATTTTATATTTTATTCAATTATTTAACTAAACACTCGATTTGGTTATAAATTATCAATTATCAATAAAATAAAACATAGTTAAGTAACATGGAATTTCAATTTACTAATTCAAATTATTTTCATCTATCTTGATTATCTTGTTCCGATATTTTTATTGACATCGATTTTCATAAGTAAGTTACTCGTGTTTTTACGTATGATAGTTAGAAGTGATCAATTATAGCTTAATTGAGCTACAGTTAAAGTTTTATTTACTAATTAAAACAATTTTTATTAGTTTTCACAATTTCCATGACTTTTCTCCAAATTTCTATGACATCTACATGTTTGTAAAATCGGGATCTCGACATTTCTATCGACATCGACATTTGGAACCTTGATAGGGAAATAGATAAAAAGAAAATAACAATAACAAATAAATAAAAAGGATAATAATCAAAATAATTAAAAAAGAAGATTGTAAAAAATAATATTATTATTATTAAAAAGAATTCACGTGAATCACGAAATTTTTTTTATTTATTTGTTTTTTTT